TGGGCTCAATGGCTCATGCCTGTAATGCTAGCACTCTGGGAGGTTGAGGCGGGTGGATCACCTGAGGTCAGGAGTTTGAGACCACCTGACCAAAATGGTGAAACCCCGTCTCTACTGAAAATACAAAAATCAGCTAGGCAGGTAGGTGAGTGCCTGTAATCCCAGCTACCGGGGAGGCTGAGGCGAGAGAATCACTTGAACCCAGGAGGCAGAAGTTACAGTGAGTCAAGATTACACCACTGCATTCCAGTCTGGACGACAGAGTGAGATGCTGTCTCCAATTTAAAAAAAAAAAAAAAAAAAAGGCAGTACAGCGTGGTTCCCGGCCATGACTGCACTCGCCTGCGGTATCAGCAGCACATGCGGGGCTTGACATCACTCTGTCAGAAAGCACCAAGACCCTTCATCAACATTATTTTTCCTTATAGGCCTTTCTGCAAATAAAATCTAGTGATTCAGATAAATTTCTATTAAAAAGGAAGAAGATTTGGAGGGAGCCACTCACGGTAACACTCACTACTAAAATCTGTGTGCACTGAAAACTTACAACCAGCCAGGTCCTATGCTAAGAGATCACATATATTAGCCCATTTAATTCTAGTGACCAGTGAGGTAGGTGCACAGATGAGGAAACTGAAGCACATCTATCAGAGTAGGATACCAATAGATTATGCCTCAAAGTGGTAAACAAGCAAAAAAAAATCTCACTATAACCATACTACTTATTTATTTATTTATTTATTTAATTTTTTTAGAGATAAGAGTCTCGCTCTGTTGCCCAGGCTGGAGTGCAGTAGTACAATCTCGGCTCACTGCAACCCCTACCTCCTGGGTTAAAGTGATCCTATCACCTCAGCCTCCTGAGTATCTGGGACTACAGGCATGCGCCACCATGCCTGGCTAATTTTTTGAATTTTTATTAGGGTTTCACCATGTTGGCCAGGCTGGTCTCAAACTCCTGACCTCAGGTGATCCGCCCACCTTGGCCTCCCAAAGTCCTGGAATTACAGGCATAAACCAACACGCCCAGCCTAAGGATACTATTTAAAAATACGGGCTAGGCATGGTGGCACTTGTAATCCCAGCAACTTGGGAGGTCAAGGTGGGAGGATCACTTGAGCCCAGGATTTTGAAACCAGCCAGGACAACATGGCAAGATGCCATCTCTACAAAAATTCAAAAATTAGCCAGGCATGGTAGAAAGCCCTTGTAGTTCCAGCTACTCAGGAGGCCAAGATGGGAGGGTCACTTGAGTCCAGCAGTTCAAGACCAGCCTGGGCAACAGAGCAAGACCCTGCCTCAAAAAATAAATAAATAAATAAATAAACAACCACTAACCTCACGTGGATTTCAGTGCTGCCCAGCAATTCTGCTACACGTCCCTACTCCAGCCCTTTCCCAGGATGACTCATTCTTTCACCTCTCCTACCTCAAGCCTCCCACGTCTCCCGTTTCTCTGTTCTCATCGGATGACCTTAGTTCCCGGTCACTGAGAACACAAATACAATCAGAGGGAACTTCCTGCTGTAGCTCCCGCTACGCCTACCCATTGGCCAGCAGGCGTGTGCTCCCAGCAAGGTGAACGCTGACTCCTGCGCAAGGTCTCCTTGCCCTCGCCTGCTTAAGGGTATCGCTCTGAGCAACTCTCCGTATCTGGCCTCCTTAGCTCCTGCATTCTGCTGAGGCAACTGCAACCTCCCACATCTTAAACTCTCTTGGCTCCACGTGCCCTTCAATGTACACCCCACTTCTCAGCTCCCTTCTGCAGAAAAGTCTCACGAGTTGTTTACCCTGGCAAGGGTCAAGGGCTCATGCCTGTAATCCCAGCACTTTGGGAGGCTGAGACAGGAGGATCACTTGAGCCCAGGAGTTTGAGACCAGCCATAACAACACAAGACTCTGTCTCTACAAAAATAATAAATAAACAGGCCGGGCACAGTGGCTCACGCCTATAATCCTAGCACTTTGGGAGGCCAAGGAGGGCAGATCACTTGAGGTCAGGAGTTTGAGACCAGACCTAACAACATGGCAAAACTCTATCTCTACCAAAAATACAAAAATTAGTCAGGTGTGGTGGCACCTGCCTGTAGTCTCAGCTACTCGGGAGTCTGACGCAGGAGAATCACTTGACCCGGGGAGGTGGTTACAGTTAGCCAAGATCATGCCACTGCACTCCAGCCTGGGCAACAGAGTGAGGCTGTGTCTCTAAATAAATAAATAAATAAATAATCACCTACCTGTCGTGGCTCTGACTTCTTTTCTCCCCTATCCCATCAGGCTTTTGCCCCAACCACCCTACCACAATGACACCCATGTGGCTAAATCCCATTGCCGACCCCCAGTATGCAACTTATTTGATCTAACAATGTCGGACTGTTGATCCGGCCTTCTCTGTTTTTTTGAGACAGAGTCTCGCTCTGTTGGCCAGGCTGGAGTGCAGTGGCAAAATCTCAGCTCACTGCAACCTCCACCTCCCGGTCTCAAGCAGTCCTCCTGCCTCAGCCTCCCAAGTAGCTGGGATTACAGGCATGCGCCACCACACCTGGCTTATTTTTATATTTTTAGTAGAGACGGGGTTTCACCATTTTGGCCAAGCTGGTCTCAAACCACTGACCTCAGGTGATCCACCTGTCTCGGCTTCTGAAAGTGCTGGGATTATAGGCGTGAGCCACTGCACCCAGCCTCTTCCTTCTCTCTTGACAGGCGTTTTTTACTTGGCATCCAGCACAGACAGCACAACTCCTGCTTTTGCTCTGACCTTTTAATCGCCCTGCCTTGAACACTGAAGGACCCAGGCTTAGTGCCCAGCCTCTTCACTCCCTCAGTGATCCCATTTGGTCATGTGGCTTTAAATACCAACTAGCCGCTGATGACTTTGTTTCCTCATTTACAGGTCTCTTCTTAACCCTCTCCTTGAACTACACTGCCAACTCAACTGTGTCTTTGTATGATTATATACATACATGGTAATATACATGTACATACACACATATATACATGTATATATTGAACTCCTGACCTCAAGTGATCCCCCCACCTCGGCCTCCCAAAGTGCTAGGACTACAGGTGTGAGCCACTGCACCCGGCCACATGCTGTTTATACACATATTACACGTGTGTATGCATATATATACGTGTGTGTGTGTGTGTGTACAGTGTGTATGGTCAGGCATGGTGTCTCACACCTGTAATTGCAGCACTCTGGGAAGCCGAGGCAGGGGGATCACTTGAGTTCAGGAGTTCCACACCAGCCTGGCCAACATGGCAAAACCCTGTCACTACTAAAAATACAAAAATTAGCCAGGCGTGCTGGCGCCTGCCTGTAATCCCAGCTACTTGGGAGGCTGAGGCAAGTGAATCACTTGGAGGTTGCAGTGAGCTGAGATAGCGCCACTGCACTCCAGCCTGGGCAACAGAACCAGACTCCATCTCAAAATTTATATATATGTGTGTGTGTGTATATAAACTGTATATATAACTATATGTATCGCATATATACCATCTACACACAGATCATCGCAAGCTTAAGAATTCATAATCAAAACTCCTGATCATCCTTCACAAACCTGATCTTCCTAGTGTTCATTCTTTCCATAAACATCTATCTGATGAAGTTCACATTGCAACTCAAGCTGAAAACCTTTGTGCATCCACAGCTCCTCTCTTTCTCACACACTCAGCCAACCCACCACCAGCTCCCATTGGTTTACCACTGAAATACACCCAAAATGTGACTCCCTTACAATCATCCGGGTATCCCGGTGCAAGCCACCACCTCTCACAATGGCTTCTAAACTCCTCAATCAGGTTGTGTGTCACCTTCACTTGAAAACTTCCCAAACTGACCCCCCTTCCACCTGGAGGAAAAGTAAGATTCTTGGAGCTTGGAAAGGTCCCCACGACAGCCTTGGCCCCACCCCACATCTCTGGGGCCGCACCTCCTCTTTCTCTCTCTGTGCCTAAACTGGCCCAGCAACACTGGGCTCCCTGTTGTTTACATCTGCACCTGCTGTTTCCTCTACCTGGAATAGGTAGAGGAATAGGTTCTGGTGCCTCACTCCTCCTCCTCTCCACTCTCGACCCCCCCGTTCTCATCTTCTCCATGGCACTTATCACCACCTGCTCTGTGCACCCTGTTCATCTGTCTCTCCCCTCCAGAAAGTAAGTTCACTAGGTCACAGACTTGTCTCCACTTGTTTACGGCTGCAGCCCAATGCCCTGAACAGTGCTGACACACAAAAGGAACCCTATGAATGTTTTTTTTTTTTTTAAACAATGAATGAATGATGGAAGGAAGGAAATGGAAAGCATGCTTACGATGAAAAGTAAGGCCGGCCGCGGTGGCTCATGCCTGCAATCTCAGCACTTTGGGAGGCCGAGGTGGGAGGAACCATCGCTTGAGCCCAAGAATTTAAGATCAGCCTGGGTAATATAGTGAGACATCATTGCTACAAAAAACATTTTTAAAAATTATCCGGGCATGGTGGCGTGGGCCTGTGGTCCCAGCTACACGGGAGGATGAGGCGGGAGGACGACATGGGCCCAGGAGGTAGAGGCTGCAGTGAGCTATAATCACGCAACTGCACTTCAGCCTGGGTGACACAACGAGACACTGCCTCAAAAATAAAAAATAAAAAATAAAGAGAAAGTGAGAACTGAAAGCCTCGGGGTGCAATCAGGGCTCAATGAATTCTAACTCGCGTCTTCAAAGGAAGACAATGAAACCAGAGCCACCGCGAGGGCTGACGGCCTAGAACTAGGAGCCAGCGGCGTCCCTTCCGCTCGCCCGCGCCGGGCTAAACCAGAGGCGCTGCGGACGTCGGAGCCCCCGCCGGGCCTTCCCAGCACTGCAGACCCCAAAGCCGCCGCCAGGTCGCACGCGCCAGGCCTTCACGCACCCACGTGGAAGGGGCGGAGCCCCGCGGGAGCCCGCCCCGGGGCTCTGGGTCTCCTTGGCGCCCTGACCCGCCAGCCACCCCGCCGGGATCCCACGCGCCTACCTGCGTCCACCTTGCCCACCTGCGTTTGCCCAGCAGAGCCGCAGACTGCGGCTTCCGGCAGGGACCCGCACCTCAGGTACGCGTTAGTCCTACCTTCAAGAGGGTGGAGCTTCCCATTGGGCGAAATCTGCGTCAGTCTCTCCGCCGGCTAATGGCAAACGTCGGCAGCACGGGTATCGGAGCCAGGCCTAGGCGCGGGCTAGTGACGCCATCTCTAGGGGCTTCGAGTTGCTAGGATAGCAGCCGGTTGCCAAGGTAACAGGTAACCAGCTCTGCCCGGTACACTTGCAGATGACTGGGTTCGGGCCCTGCAGCGCTCAGGAGGGTCTGGGGTGCAGCTGCCCCGGCCGGCAGGGCGCCCACGGGGTGGGGCCTCCTCCGAGGGTCCAGGGCATGGAGCTCCACTCGCAGTCGAAATGGGTGAGCTACGGCTGTTGCGAATAACACAAATAGGACTCAAACTTCGTGCTGAATTAAAAAATCAGCATAGGTGCTAAAAAGTAAATATACAGGGTGGATACTATTTTAATAATACCTGTGGCCGGGCTCAGTGGCTCACGCCTTTTATCCCAGCACTTTGGGAGGCTGAGGCGGGCGGATCGCTTGAGCTCAGGCGTTGGAGACTAGCCTGGCCAACATGGTGAAACCCCGCCTCTACTAAAAATACAAAAATTAGCCGGCCGTGGTGGCGCATGCCTGTAATCCCAGCTACTCAGGAGGCTGAGGCAGGAGAATCGTTTGCGCCCGGGAGGTGGAGGTTGCAGCGAGCTGAGTTCGTGGCACTGCACTCCAGCCTGGACGACAGAGTGAGATTGTCTTAAAAAATTAATTAAAAAAAATAAAAATTAGCCGGGTGTGGTGGCACGTGCCTGTAGTTTCTGATACTCCAGATACTGAGGTGAGAGGATTGCTGGAGCCTAGGAGATGGAGGCTGCAGTGAGCTATGATGAGGGCAACACAGCCAGACCCCATCTCAAAAAAAAAAAAAAAAAAAATCATGCTTTTAAGTTACCCAGTAACTTAGTGCTTGGCAGCCATATTAAGTATGATGTACCTTGTTGCCTCAGAAATCCAAAGGTGACAAGCAAAGAAGGTTCATTCTTCTTTGCTGGTAGAAGATTGCATCTGTTTCCTATTTCTGTGTAACAAATTAACCTAACATTTAACAGCCTAAAAGAAGATTTATTTTCTCTCAGTATCTGGGGGTCAGGAAGGTGGGCGTGGCTGAACTCTGTGCCTCTGCCTCAAGGTTTCACCAAGTTGTGGTCAAAGTGTCTGCCAGGGCTGCGATTTCATCTGAAAGCTTGTCTGGAATGATCCACTCCCAAGCTCACACACATGAATATTGTAAGGACTCAGTCCTCCAAGGTCATTGCTCAAAGACTGCCCTCAGTTCCTTGGAATATGGGCCTCTCCACAAGGAAGCTCACAACACAACAGCTGGCTTGCCTTAGAGCGAGCGCACACAAGAGGGGTCACACACAAGATGGATGCCACAGTCTCTTTGGACCCTAATCTCAGAAGTGATTTCCCTGGGCTTTTGCCATATTCTGTTCATTAGAAGTTGGCCAGGTGCAGTGGTTCACTCCTATAATCCCAGCACTTCAGAAGTCTGAGGTGGGTGGATCACTTGAAGTCCGGAGTTCAAGACCAGCCTAGCCAACATAGCAAAACCCCATCTCTACTAAAAATACAAAAATTAGCCAGGCGTGGTGGCACACACCTGTAATCCCAGCTACCTGGGAGACTGCGGCATGGGAACTGATAGAACTTGGGAGGATGGAAGTTGCAACGAGGCGAGATCACACCATTCCAACCTGGGTGACAGAGTGAGACTCTGGCTTTAAAAAAAAAAAAAAAAAAAGGCTGGGCACAGTGGCTCATATCTGTAATCTCAGCACTTTGGGAGGCCAAGGGGAGAGACGGATCACCTGAGGTCGGGAGTTGGAGACCAGCCTGATCAACATGGAGAAACTCCATCTCTACTAAAAACTACAAAATTAGCCAGGTGTGGTAGCACATGCCTGTAATCCCAGCTACTCGGGAGGCTGAGGCAGAATTGTTTGAACCCGGGAAGCAGAGGTTGCAGTAAGCCAAGATCACGCCATTACACTCCAGCCTGGGCAACAGGAGTGAAACTGCATCAGAAAAAAAAAAAAAAGTGAATCATGCTAGGTGCAGTGGCTCACACATGTAATCCCAGCACTTTGGAAGGCTGAGTCAGGAGGATGGCTGGAGATCAGGAGTTCAAGACCAGCCTGGGCAACACAGTGAGACCTCCTGTCTACAAAAATAAAAAATTAGCTGAGCATGATGGCACACACCTATAGTCACAGCTATTTAGGAGGCTGAGGTTGAAGGATTGCTTAAGCCTGGGAGATGGAGGCTGCAGTGAACTATGATCACACCACTGCACTCCAGCCTGGGTAACAGAGTAAGACTCTGTCTCAAAAAAAAAAAAAAAAGGAAAAAAAATTTTTCATTTTTGGAACTGATATGGTTTGGCTGTGTCCCCACCCACATCTCATCTTGAATTGTAGTTCTTATAATTCCCATGTGTTGTGGGAGGGACCCGGTGGGACATAATTGGATCAGTTTCCCCTGTACTGTTTTCATGGTAGTGAATAAGTCTCATGAGATCTGATTTATAAGGGGAAAACCCCTCTTGCTTGGTTCTCATTTTCTCTCGTCTGCTGCCATACAAGACATGCCTTTTGCCTCCTGCTATGATTGTGAGGCCTTCCCAGCCACGTGGAACTGTGAATCCACTAATCCTCTTTTTCTTTATATATTACCCAGTCTCAGGTATTTCTGTATCAGCAGTGTGAATATGGACTAATACAGAAATGCTGAAAGGACTTAGATGCATTAACATCCCAGTGGCACTAAGCACTCCAAGTACCCACAACACAGCTCCTAAATACCATCCCCCACAAACATGGACCAGGACTCCTGGGAGAAATGGCTGATCCCAGGGTTGTGGCAGGGAAGGCACAAGATGGGCCTTGAATAGGTCAGTCTGAACATCCCTTTACAAGACCCCCTTGTCAGGCTATCTGGGGTCATCCTCACATGCTCTCGGGCCCTGTCTTGCACTCATCTGTCTTCCAAGAGCAAGGACTGTCTTTCCATTGATTTCCATGTACTATTGTGCCTTTCATGAAACACACATTTTTCTCTTTTCCTCCCAAAATCATACTTCCTGAAACACATTTTAAAGTTTTATCCCATACAGGTTTAACATGCCTCCAGTTTATACCTAAGTGTTTTGTCTTTATTGTTGCTGTAAATGGGGTTTTCCTCTTCCATTACATCTTCTGATTATTGTTTATGGGAATGAAGGCTTTTGATCCTGTTAGTTTTATATACTATTATCGTACTATGTTCTCTGAGGAGGTATGCATGTTTTATAATAAGGAGTTATATCACTCATTTCCTACTTTATTGAACACTAAATTACTGATATCTGAGATATGAAACTTTTTTTTTTTTTGAGACAGAGTCTCACTCTCTTGCCCAGGCTGGAGTGCAGTGGCATGATCTCGGGTCACTGCAGCCTCCACCTCCCAGGCTCAAGCAATTCTCCTGTCTCAGCCTCCCGAGTAGCTAGGAGTATAGGTGCCCACCACCATGCCTGGCTGATTTTTGCATTTTTAGTAGAGGCAGGGATTCACCATGTTGGCCAGGCTGGCCTCGAACTCCTGACCTCAAATGATCTATCCACCTTGGCCTCCCAAAGTTCTGGGATTACAGGTGGCCACCCCCATGCCTGGCCAATTTGTTTTTAGTAGAGATGGGATTTCATTATGTTAGGCTGGTCTTGAACTCCTGACTTCAGTGATCTGTCCGCCTCGGCCTCCCAAAGTGCTGGGATTACAGCTGTGAGCCACCACGCCTGGCTGTTACTAGCTGTTTTAATAAGACCATGAACCATAGCTGATCAACCCAACTGTTTAAAATACTCTTCACCATGTCCCAAGATCTCTGGCCCTGAAATTGGATGAAGATGGCTTTTCCTGTTTATAGCAAAGCTAAGCTGATTTTCTCCACTTCAGCTTTCTTCCTACACACCTCACCTCACACCTTGGATGCCTGCTGTATGCTTATACTAGGTTCCAGGATGTGGTGCACCTCCTGTTGCAGAACACTGCATGTGTGGCGCTCAGTTCAGCTGTCTTCTTGGTAGGCCACGGAGCACCAAGATTGGTCAGGTTTCTGACACTTGAACAAGTTGAGGAACCACTGCTTCAGACAGAGCTTCCAAGATTGACCTTCCTCCATGAGACCCAGGGGTGTAGCACAATGGCGGATGGGCTTGGCTCCTACAGAACAGAGAATCAGAGGGTGCTCGTGATGGACAAAGCGTGGGTGCCACAGAAGTCCCTGGAACTGAGCAAACTCCTGGCCAAACAACAGGCCCAAGTCACCCCTGCAGACAATCACAGCGCTCGGCATTGTGTGTGCACTGATGGCAGCTTGTTTAATGGCCGATTTTATCTCGGCCCTGGAATCCTGATTGTTATAGAAACATTAACCTTTCTAATTGCCCTCATGCTCCAGGGACTGTTTAAGTGAAACCAGGAGAGGGAACACTGGCCCATGAAGAGCCTCCTCTGGGTGGACTGCTGTTTCATTTGTTTTCTTCTTAAGATTCACCACAGCACAGCTATCTGCAGAAAAATGAAACAACCAGAATGTAAAATTAGAGAGCTGCTCTGCTGTGGGCACTTTAATTAAAAAAAAAAGGCAATTTTTTTTTTTTTTTTTGAGACAGAGTCCGCCCTGTCACCCAGGCTGGAGTGCAATGGCACGATCTTGGCTCACTATAACCTCCGCCTCCTGGGTTCAAGCGATTCTCCTGCCTCAGCCTCCCAAGTTGCTGGGATTACAGGCATGCACCACCACACCCAGCTAAATGTTTTTTGTATCTTCAGTAGAGACCAGCCAGGTCTCTTCACCATGTTCGCCAGGCTGGTCAACTCCTGACCTCGTGATTTGCCTGTCTCAGCCTCTCGAAGTGCTGGGATTACAGGCGTGAGCCACTGCGCCTGGCCAAAAAAGGCCACTTTAAAAGGTATTTTTATGTAGCATGCATGAATTGCAAGAAAATCTTAGCTTTTAATGTGTTCTAAGATGATATCAAACGTAGCTCACGAGTGTG